CGCCTATGAGAAATATTTTAGGTACGCGTCTGAGGACATGGTACTGAAGATTTCGCGGTCATTGCATCGATTCATTTTTACGGCGCGCTGGAAAATGTTTAAGGGGTCACACATTTCCCTCCAGTCGGGCACGGGTTTTCAACACATACTAAACACGAAAAATACAACTTAAAACTTGTTTTCTTTGAAGTTCGTTGCGTTGCAACATTTACTTACGTGACCTGGTGACACCATGATGGTAACCATGATGGCACAACGCGCAGGAAACCATCCCTGATGTCGTCAAACTTTATCGTCTTCTCATGAACCTGCCGCCAGACACCGGTTCAGCCACACCCGAGTACTTTTTTCTCATGACCCTGCCCGCCAGACACCGGTTCAGCCACACCCGAGTACTGTTTTCTCATGACCCTGCCCGCCAGACACCGGTTCAGCCACACCCGAGTACTGTTTTCTCATGGCCCTGCCCGCCAGACACCGGTTCAGCCACACCCGAGTACTGTTTTCTCATGACCCTGCCCGCCAGACACCGGTTCAGCCACACCCGAGTATTGTTTTCTCATGACCCTGCCCGCCAGACACCGGTTCAGCCACACCCGAGTACTGTTTTCTCATGACCCTGCCCGCCAGACACCGGTTCAGCCACACCCGAGTGCTCTTTTCTCATGACCCTGCCCGCCAGACATCGGCTCAACCACACCCTAGTGCTGTTTTCTCATGACCCTGCCCGCCAGACACCGGTTCAGCCACACCCGAGTGCAGTTTCAGCGCACGTCTCGAATAAACATTTGCTTTGCTTAAAGGGATTAATCCTCATTTGAAGATGCTCAGCAAACATCAAACATGATGAAATAAGCTCACTTATGACTATGTGCATGCTTTGAAATGAAAAAGACTGCTCTAGACAACACAATTTCTCTGTTCAGTAGATGTGTTCCTCCTACGTCATCGTTTGATCGCGTCATCATAGTTTGCAAAACATTACTTAAGAGCCATTTGGCGCATGACATCAGGAATGTCTAGGTGATCCTGAAATGGTCTCCCGGAAAGCGCCTGCACATCTTCGCAGACGCGCAGCTAAAATCTAGAGCAAGTTAGGTCTCAAGAAGGGCAGGGCTGTGAACTGCAACGAATGATCTTCAACATGGCTTTTTCAGTTCAAAATCCCATACAAGTGTGCAGTCGTGCCTTTCCCAGGCGTCCATTTGTTTTCTTTTTGTAACTACGATTCTTTTTTATTTATAAGATTTCTTTTTGTAAGTAATCTTTTCTTTCTCTCTGTACCTCGCCCTCCCCCCGATCTTGCTGTTGCCTAATCTTGAAATGCCCCCACAGTGTTGGTTTGACTCCTATATTTTGGAGTGAAATATTAAAAAGACGTGGAAAGAGTTAACCATTACACGAAGACAGTCTTCTTTCATCCTTTCTCGTAGTGGTGTCGCCATGGAAGGTACAGCTGGGTAACTTGAAGCCATAACCTCAACATTGCGCCCTCAGTTGAGGGATTTATTTATGCATTTGGGTATACCATCCTAAAATAAGACTTATTTGTTATCCGCCAAATGTAGACAAGCCCAGACGCTTTTTTCCGCAACTTAACATGATATTGATGCCGTTGATTCTTACTTGCGAGATCTCCTGAGACAACAAAATTGGGTAACAGTTTTTTCATTTTGGTGCGACAGCGATGGTGCAAATTATTCATCCAGTTAAGTTTCAAAATGAAAAACTATATAGGAAACGGATATTTTGCCGGACAGATATTTAACCTACTTCTGTGGTGAAAACATTTTGTTGCAGGTACTCTTAAACCACCGCCCCATTGTTGCAATACATCTAAATCACGCTTAGTCAAGCTCGGATAAGCGCATGACACCATCAATTGGAACAGCGGTAATTTTTGACAGCGTTCCGCTTTTCAGGACAATTTCAGGAGAAAGTTTCAGGTTCTTTGGGAATCGTGTGGCCAATGTGTTTAAAACGATATGTAGCTTCATACCAAGTGAGGAATTTCCTGATTCAGGATTTATTCATGCCTTCAAGTTGCAGAGTTTTCAGGTTTCAGGTGCATCGCTGTGTGCAACAGACAATGACACACTTCAATAATGTACAATTATACGCATTTAAATCGAAGTCCTTTTGTTGGCTGATCGCATATATCACTTCGTTATGCTGATGAAGAGCTAACCCACATGAAATGAGGGTGGCTTGCACAATATGGCATATGGCATATGGCATATGTCGTGCACACATTCGGCGGACATTCTCGCGCACCTCGTGCAGCGCAACAACAATTTAATAATAAGCATGCATGTGGCGGTCGTCTTCATAGCACACGCATTTTTTACACCGATGTTACAAAAACTCATCTTTATCGTTGTGTTTACAGCGCATGTTTATACTCTTATTCAAAAAGTTTGCTTTCAGGCTCCAAATATATCTCTTCGCGCTTTTGCGGGCGTGTAACTCAGGGACCATATCGTTTTGGGTCTTAAAAAGCACGTGACCGTGAACTGCATCAAAAGGTCATCAAGATGAATATTTCAGTTCATAACGTCACACAAATTTGAAACATTCCCTTTAACCTCACACCACTGTTGGTCAATTTAAACTGCTCATTTTGCGTTGTTGGACACATCCAAGTGTTGTTAAGTATTGCTTATTATGATTATGTTATTGAAATCAACTGTTCGTGTCATCGCATCGTCGGCTGAAAAATGTGATATGACGCCAAATTCGGCCCGAAATTATCACGCACCGCACGCGATTCACGCCGAACTCGCAGCGTACATAGAAGATCCCTCCACAGGGGAGACGCTGAGACTTAATCCAAGAACAACAAAATTGGTGTAGATTGTGTAATTTGGCCACATAGAATGGCCCCCAAACCAGGTAACCATATTCGCCAATGGAGCCGGATGCTCACCACCACATAGAATCAAAACATGGGTGTTCGTTGTGTAGAGCAGCGTACAGACCAACACTGCAACACCCTTTACTTCCGTAATACAGAATCGTGTCTGCACTCACCGCCAGATCACAGGTAACAGCTGAGCGGATAAGCGATGCATTACACTTTACATTTTACGTAGTTAGGGCCATAAAACACGCAAAGGTCTGAGAGGTTAAACTGAAAAGCTCTGGAGTATGGCAATGGTCGCAAACCCTCATGAGTAACCTTGTTCCGGTACCCCATAACCAAAAATACGTGCCGCCGCCAACAGCCGCCACATAAGTGTGCTTTCGACACCCCAATGGGCATGCACACCGTCCCCCAGGAGTGTCAATTTGTGTAAATGAATGGGGGGGGGGGGCAAATCGAAGGCCCGACAATTTACCCGCCCCCCCCCCCATTTTTGCTTTCCGGATGTAGCCCGCTTTATCTTGAATACACGTAATACACGTTTTTGATCTTTGTATAATTTATGAAAGTCTTTAATTTAGGCAGTATAGAAGTCATGCAGGGTTGGATCCATGGAGCAGGCACTGGACGCTCGCGTCTCTTCTGATCGGCATGTGAAGGCGCCCCCTGTAGAGGCCACCTTACGGCGCCAATGGCGCTCTTCTTTGGCGGTCATGGGAGGCGGCATGCATTTTGGTTGTGGGGTACTCGGACGTGGTTAGCTAAACATGACTTATGTCATCCCCATATTCCAGAGCTTTTCACTTTAACCTCACAAACCATTGCATTTCTTATGGCGCTAGGTATGTGAGGGTTATCTCATCGTTTATCCGCTCAGCTGCTACGATCTGCACCTGGTTTGCTGTGAGAGTGGTACGAGATGCCACTATGCAGAGAGATCAAGGAAGATAGTCTTTGTGTTACGTTCATCGTTTACCCACGTTTTTTTGTGGCATTCCAGCCAAAAACATTGGAGGCCTGGCCAACATTGGGGGAGGGGGACTCAACATTGGGGGGGGGGGAGGGCAGGGACCTCAAAAAGAATACAAATCAACACCCATGGTACCTCTTGATTCTTCCCTGCAGCACTGCTATGAAGCTTATATCACGGCTCCTTTTTAAACGATGCAAAACCTTACAATGACTGCCATTCTCTGCCACTCACCAAAACAAAGTGGGCTAAATCCGCTGAGAAAAATAGGGTAGGACCGGTTGTTGGGCCCTTTCGGCTGGGCCCACAATCTTTACAAAAAAAAATTAACACCTCTGCTCCCTGTAACGGTAATACAGAGGAGGGTCAGCACAGTTGAAGTATAAGTGCTCTACTCCGCCTGTATCTAACGGATCTCTTATATGATAATGACAATCCTCGAGCAGTGTTCCGTTCGAATACCTAATCAATACCGTAATAAATGGCCAGATTTACTCTATGCTATAATTTTTCCACAAGCAAACCATTTTTTGTTGTTGTAATCGGCCGTACAAGCCATAGCGAAGCTGCGGCAAAAAAGAAGAAATATCACACTGCGAAAGTTTTGCCACTGTACGCATACATATTTACGAACGAATGCGATGCATCATATGGCCGGCTGGTCTAGGTACACTGCTGACGAGAGGCTTCGACACAGGGAAATTTTTCCCACCGGCATGAAGTAACGGACGTCCATTCATGTTGGAAAGGGGAGAGGATGCCACGGGTATTATGATTTTTGCAGTCAACGCTCAAAGTGCCAATGTTAAAATTTCAGAAAGTCGCGGTTTTCGAGCCCCATGCCATAAGCTGGTGCAACCCAAAACACGAGGAATTTGCATAGCAACCCTCATTTACGAGGTCGCCAATCATGAAGCGCGTGATTTCTCATCAATTTCTAGTCATTTAAGTGGTGTGATGATTTCACGACCTCATCCCCGAGATGAAAAATTGGTCGCACCGCCCCTAGAGGCACGCATAGATGTAAAGAACATCTATGGATAAATGGGCCATTTATGACTGGGGCGACAGCTGTCAGAAAAGCTTTCTGGGCATTTTCAGCAATTTTCACTCTCATCTATATCTGGCACCATCTGGTAGCTCAGAATATCCGCCATGTTGGTGGCGTCGTTGGCGTCCGTTAGGGAAGGTGGAGGGGCGGCGAATGCTGTGGGGGAGCGGGAGGATGTCAAAGTTGTAGGGCCGTTGGATGGAATTTGCTTTAATTCGTGAGGATTACGTTGAGAGAAGAGTTTTTCATCAAAGGAGGCTCGTGGAAGATTTGTCTTCGTGCGGCATTTATTAGGCTCAGGTCAGTCCCGGTACCCGTCAGCGTTGCACTCGAATTCAAACGGCGTTGGGTTCTGGCGGTGTGCGCGATCGGGGAATTTCTCGGCGTTTATGCTGTCTGGGTATCGCTCTTGATGGAATAAAACATGTGATGTTCAGCGTGCAGTGCTTTGGAGGTATGCTAATGGCACTGTTTGATGTTGGTGATGGGATCTTCCTAGGCTTCACGCCTGAGCCACAGTGTTTGTCTCATTAACAGCGGGGTGAGATTGGGAAAGGATGGGCTGGCTCAGGAAAGTATGCTCATTTTTTAGACCTGATAATTTGCTGCCTGTTCTTGAACAATCCTGCATGAAAGCCCTGCAATATCTGCATTGAAAGATGTATCATATTAGCTGGCAGGAATATCTGCATACCTGTATGTGCCATGCATAAATTCCTCATATGCTGAACTGAAAGCAAACCAAGCTAAGGTGGTGTCATACTGCCCAGACCAGCACATGGTTCCATCTGATTGCATGTGGTGTTGCAAATCTGGGTAGGTCATGGAGGAAATCCATGCTTTGCAACTCATGGATGCAGCACTTACATAGCATTGCAGTTCATGATGTTAAAATTGTTGAACTTAAGTTCTTCTGTTAAGAGGGGCCATACATATATTACATGATGCCTGAAGCGGGGAGTTTTGGCGCACTTGACTTAGTGCAAGGGAAAGTGGTAGTTTTGACAATGGCAAGCTTAAATGTGGCAGCAAATTATGTTTGTCTTTTTGGAGTGTTTTAAAACACATACTGATGGATTTTTTTTCATTTCAAAAGCAGCTGTCAATGTTTTTTATGTAGGTCAGTGGGAGCCAAACAGTTACTTGTTTTGGACACCAAGCTTCACACATCATATTATGGTGACCTCAAAAACTCCATTGCCAATTGATTATGGTAATTATAATTAATAAGTAGTGGGATTTTTGCCCTGGGTATCCACTGCATGACCTGAGGGTAAAAAGGTTGAAATATAAAAATGTGCATTGTTACCTATGGACAGCCCCCAACACTGTTCAAAATTCCTAACATTTTCATTGTAGCGTAGTACAAATTTTTCCAAAGCATAGTACCAAATTTTCCAAGTGCTGTGGCTCATTACACTGCTATTTAGCTTATCATTCAGAGATTACTGTTCAGTGGGTGGCACTGAACAGGAGGGTCACATTTCAGATACAGCAATTCATGTAAAGGCATTTCAAATGAAAGGAAACATTAGTGTTGAACATGACACACTGAGACAACATGGTCAAACAGTCTGTATCATAAAACTTATTTACCTATGTCTGGAATTCAAAGGCAAAAGGATTAAACTCTATGTTAACTAATAGCTGACAAGCCTTTTTGCCTTTGGATAGCAGATAGAGTAGGTAGTTTGTGGAAAATGATTACCATACCACAGATCTAGGCATGTCTTTTTCTCCCAAAGTATTGCTGTAAGAAATAAGTATCTTTTGCAATTCCCTCAAAGAGAAACAATAATTTACTTGCTGAGAGATGTGATGCCAAAATATGTTTGGAACTGAGTGGGTTTGAAATAACACAAAAGAATGCCAATGAATATGTTGCAGTCAGCCACCTACTTATGCTCTACCATAATCATGCTACTCATGCTTCAGTTCATAATGTCACAGCTACCTGGCTTCAAAAATGGCAAAAGCATGGCAAAACCTGATGGTCCCCACCTTCCAGCTACCAGACAGCACATGAGGCCCACACACCCCAGCTAAGCAGTAGAGGTGGGCGGCACCCAACTGGTTACTGAGATGCACAAGTACAATGCCTGACAAGTACAGTGGTGGCCAAAAGGGATCTGAGTTGGTCAGTCCTCTGACCAATAGATAATGCAAGGCATCAAAATATTTTGGTGTGCTTAAACTGATGTTGTGAAATATGGTAATTTATGTTTCATTTCATTAGAGTTTCTGACCTGTCCTAAAGCTGTTCATTCATTTGCCAGGCCTATTTAATGGGCTCATTGTTTCTGGTTTCCTGGTGTTTTTACTGGAGTAAGATGGCTATCTCAGAGCAGTTTTTTGGCTATTTATAGCAATGCTTTTCAACTGATACTAATTTTTTTGTAAAGCTTGAATTAGCAGCTTTAATTTCATTTCCCCAAATGGTAACCTTAACATCATTTAATTACCCAGCTGCCTTTGCATTTCTGTACTCTGGATGCCAGCAAGTGGCCAGAAATCCACCCACAGGTGGTTCTGGGCAAGTACAAGTAACTCCTTCACAATCATGATGTCCATCTCTGTACAGCTTCCCTTGTAAAGTTTTGAAATCTGTTAAAGACATGAGCATGAGCAGAAAATTTATGCTCTTGACAAGTCAACCACAAGGAGGCTAATCTTTTCAACCAATGGGAGAGTTTTGCAATGTCCAACCTCCAACCTGACCTGGGAGGCAGATGTAAGGTACTGAAAAGTTTGGATGTTTCGGTTTGAGATGTTTAAAGGAACATTTTTCAACTTAAAAAGGAATTACAAAGCTTGAATTACCAGCTTTAATTTTACATCCTTAAGTGACAAATTAAAATTGGTTCAAATTCACAGCTGCTGTAACATTTTTGTACTCCGGATGCCAGGAAGTGGCCCAAAATCCAACCACATGGCAGTTTGGGATGAGTACAAATTAGTCCTTCATAATTGTTTTGCCCATGTATACAGCTTCCCTCCAAATGTTTACAAATCTGTTCAAGGCATGAGTGCGAGCAGAATGTTTATGCTGTCCACAAATCAGTCACAAGGAGGCGAATCATGAAAAGCAATTGGAGAGTTTTGCTATGTTCAACCTCCAACCTGAGCTGGGAGGGGGGCGTAAGCCGCTGAATAGTTGAGACGTTTCCGGCGCTGAATTGCGAGCGATTCCCCTGTTTACATTGTCATGACACTGGCGGTGTGTGGGTAGGGGACCGTCTGCGGTAGGTGATTGGGCGCGCGGTTCTCTATGAATGTTCGTTGCATCCTTGGCAGTTAATGCGGTTAGTCGTCATGGTAGGTTAAGTCATGTTGAAGTTTGAATTGGTCTGCCTAGGACATGGGAACTGAGAGCTTCGCTTATCTACAGACCAGTGTGATTCTAGTACTCGTTTCTCGTTTTCTGGTATTGCTCAAATGCAATTCCATTCAACAGTCACATGCTTTATTTTCCACATTTCCATACATGGTTTATCATATATGTAGGTGGCAACACAGGCTGCTTGCTATTAGGCAACTTAGTCTGCTAGGTGCAAGGTTTGTGCTCTTGCAGATACCAATACATGGCTCCTGATGGAGGCAGCAAGTCTCAAGCTGTTGCACCTTTTGGCTTTATTTTGTCCTGACACAAGGAGGTAAAATGAGTTTTTCCAAGGGCTGTTCTTGTTGCATCATGATGGAGTACAAAATATTTCATTTTGCATAGTCACAATCTTGGACTACAAAATCTCCTGGTACACATTATATTAGGAAGCATCAAGTTTTCCAACACTGTTGTCACAAAATTTTGCATCATACTGCACTGGTAAGTGCTGCTAAATGTCCTGGACTTTGGGGTTTAACCCAAAACATGGTACCTTTTTTAAAAATTTTTTTTTACAAGATGTGGAATTTTGGAAGTCTTCAGCTGTTTGACCATTTTCAGTTGTTCATTTCATGGCTTGCATCAATTTTGATGCAAATCACACCATGGCCATGAAAGTGCATTGACTACCATGACATGATGTGGAAAAAGCCTAAAGCATGTGCTCGCTCCATGGTGCCCATCTTTCCTCACCCTATACTAAAAGCACAAATGTGTAGGAAATGTGAGGCTCATGTCAGTAGTGAAAATTCCTATTCAGCTGTGGGAGCTCCAGCCCCTCCCCTCTCCCCTGGGCTGCGGGTCCTACACTGAGAAGAAGGTAGGCCATATTAGTGGAAAATCTGTGTATTGGTGTATTTTGTGGACAGGTGGTATCATTTTGCACTGCTTAACCCCTCTATTTCATTTTGCAAAATTATGTTCCTGACTTGAGCCACATTTCTGACCCATTTGGTAGATTTCTGTTGGGTGTTTTCCATCAATACCTGCCGTAATTGTTTGTGGTAGCGTCTTTCATGCAAACATAATGGGACAAAAAGGCTACTTTGTGGCACTTTTATTGTGGTTTAGTTCATGATGCTACCACTTACAACTGAGGAAAATGTGTCTACAAGCAATGTTTCAGTCAGGATATGGTTGGTACAAAACAAGCTTGTTTTGGAAGTGTTGCTTTCTGTTTAAGAATGTGTTTTTTAATGCCATTGAACAGTGGTGGAAATTCCAAAAATTTTCATATTAGCAAAGTGCAAATTTTCTATGGTGGAGCACAAAATTTTCCAAGTGCCATGGGTCATTGCACTTTTATCTAGGTCATTTTTGGGAGGTTATGGTACAATGGGTGGTACTCAACAAAGGCTCCACTTCCCATGTACAGCAGTTCATGTAAATGCACTTCAAATTAAAGAAAATGCCAGTATTTAAAGTGGCACACTGAAACAGCACTCTGTCTCAGACTCTGTAATATGAAACTCATGTGCATATATATATGGGTTTGCAAGTTATGAAAAAGCTTACCAAACTTTGGATCTAGGCAGGTTTTTTGTACCAAAGTATTGCTGTAAATAGTAAGCATCGTACGCGATTAGCCCAAAGTTACCAACAAGTCACTTAATGAGAGTGCGTAGTTTCACAAAATAAGTTCGGAGCTGACCAGAGAAAAATGGAACACAAAAAATGCTAATGAATGTGCCACAGACGGCCACCTACTCACGCTTCACCACGGTCACGCTACTCACGCTCCACCTGGTAACTGGTTTTGAAAACAGCCAATCCTTGCCCTCAACCTTCCAACTCCCGGACAACACACGAGGCCCCGCACGTCCCAGCCAACTAATGAGACAGGCAGGCATTCTCAACCGATTTACCGAGCCAGCGCAAGTACAATACCTGACAGACCCGTGCAGGCCGGCCGGCCGGGTCTAAGTCAGTCACTCCGCTGACTCCGGTGGATAATACAATGTATTAATGGATTTTGGTGCGCTTTAACTGATATTGCAAAGTATGATAATTTTTGTTTCAATTCATAGATGTTTTTGTCCCAATAAATCCCTTTCCTTAATTTGCGAGGCCAAAGTTATGGATTCACGTTACTCTGGTCTCCTGGTGTTTGTGTGGGAGTGAGATGGCTGGGTCTGAACAGTCCTTTGGCTATTTACATGAACATTTTTCGATTTAAAAGGAATTATAAAGCTTGAATTCCCAGCTTTAATTTCAAACCCTTAAATGACTACTTTAACTTGGTTTAAATCCCCAGCTGCCTTTACATTTTTGTACTCCGGACACCAGCGAGTGGCCAAAAATCCAGCCGCGGGGCGGTTCTGGACGAGTACAAAAAGTCGTTCATAACCGTGATGCCCATCTGTGTACAGCTTCCCTCGAAATGTTTTCAAACCTGTTTAAGACATGAGCGCGAGGTGTATATTTGTGCTCTTGAGAAACCAGTCACAAGGAGACGAATTATTCAAACCAATTGAGAGAGTTTCGCTATGTTCAGCCTCCAACCTGCGCTGGGAGGCGGGCGCAAGTCACTGAAAAGTTGAGACGTTTCCGACGCTTAATTGCGAGTGAATTTCCTATTTGCATTTCCATGACGGAGTAGTGGAGCGTGAGTAGGTGGCCGCACGTGGTAGGTGCTTTGGTGTGCGGTACTTGTCACCGTTCATTGCATCCTAGGCAGTTAACCTGGTTATTGATCAATGGTAGGTTAAATCATGTTCAGTTTTGGGTTGGTCCGCACGGGGCGGAATAAAGAACGAGCTTTGCTAATTTACAGACTGGTGCGATTCTGCTGCTCGTTTCTCATTTACCGGCATTGGTCAAAGACGATCCTATTCAACATTCACATACTTTATTTTTCACATTTCCATACATAATTTGTCATATACGTAGGTGGCAACACAGGCTGCCTGCTATTGAGCATCTAAGTTTGGTGAGAGCAAGATTTGTGCTCTTGCAGTTATCAATGCGTGGCTCATGATGGAAGCAGCAAGTCCCAAGCTGTTTCACCTTCTGGCTTTGTTTTGTCCTGAAACAGAGAGGTAAAATGAGTTTTTCCGAAACTGTTTTTGTAGCATTATGGTGGAGTACAAAATATTTCACTTAACCCAGTCACAATCCTGGAGTACAAAATCTCCTGGTATACATTATTCCAGGAAACGTCGATTTTTCCAACACTGCCATTGAATGATGAAAGTTGTTTCATCTTGATATGAATTTGCTCATTTTACCTTTTTATGAACTTGCTTGTTTTACCTTTATATGGACCTGCTCCTCCAACCAGTGACCTCTTCAGGTGGCCAAAGGCCATGCCATGCTTTGAGTGAAGACATACACCAAATTTCTTTCTCTTACAAACAATATTTTGCCATATCCTTTGTTGTTTCTTACGTGCTTTTTTATTGTGATTCACCTTGCCTGACAAATTGCAAGTCAAAGCCAGAGAAGGTTGCACTACATAACACACACAAACACAAAAAAATAGAAAAATGAAGGCCAAGGTGTGAGTACTATATGAAAGCAATTTGTGAAGCCCACTTTTCACATGCAAATCACGATACACTTGTGTTGTTTATATGCATGTGGCACCCAACAGGTGTTAATACAATAGCTCCTTCAAGTAAAAAAAGAAACAAAATCATCCACCAGGGCTAGCAGACTATAACATGACTTGTTGATCTTGATCTGTGGCCCTTAACCTTCATTAGCAGCACCATATGCTACTGAAACGCAAAAGCATGACCTTTGGTTTCACGCTGGCTGTGAAGGTATACAGCCCTTTTTGTAGGTTTTGGAGGCCCCTGGAGCAGTTCAATAATTTTTTATCTTTAGGGTGTTTTGTGACCTGCATTGGCATTGGCCATTGTGGCATGTACTGGCTTAGCAATTGTGGGCTGAACTTGATGTGGGCTGTCCATTGCTTTTCTTTATTTTTATCTCACAAAAAGGTAGTGGGACAGCTGAGAGTATTAGTTAACCCTTTCCTAGGCAGTCTGTGCCTTTATAGGAAGCTAAGCTTCATGATGCTGTTTGGTGACCTTTGGTGGCATTTTCCAGATCAGCATGGCTGGTGACAGCCAGAGGTTTTGCCTCAAGTGGAATGACTTCAGGAACAGTGTGACTGCTGTGTTTGAGGACTTGCGGCAAGATGAGGAGCTCGTAGATATCACACTGTGCTGTGAAGGGAAGAAGGTGAAAGCTCACAGGATGATGCTGTCTGCCTGCAGCCCATATTTCCGAGAGCTTCTAAAGGTATGGCTGGCTGGTGGCCCAAGTGCTTGATATGCTCGTTGATGATGAATGATGAAAGGATTGTCACCCTTACTGTTTATTTTTTATATTTTGCACAGAAAAGCTCATCACATTGCTGCTTTCATTACACATTTTACCTTTATTATGTGCACGTCATCTGTATAATTACCTGAATATGCTAAGAACAAGGCTCAGTGTACACTGCAACTGAAATACTGGGCATTTTAATGCCTGTTCAATCTGCCCCTTTTTTCTTTGCAGAACAGCGGCAATTCAATAAGGCCCATCATGTAATGTTCGTTTCCAACTAGTGACACAGGCAATAATTCTGCGTCCAGAAAGGTAGCATCTGTTAATGATGCGTTTTCCATTTCAGGAAAACCCGTGCCAGCACCCAGTGTTTTTCTTAAAAGACACCACTTACAGTGACCTGCGAGCAGTGATAGAATTTGTGTACAATGGTGAGGTGAATGTGACCCAGGGCCAGCTCAGCAGCTTCCTGAAGACCGCCGAAATGCTGCAAGTCAGGGGCCTCACCGGGGACGACGACAAGGTGAGTACTGGCTTGTCACGAGTTGTTGACATCTACCAACTTTTGGCTGCAATTTAACCGCATGTGCTGATTTCTGAAGAGCTCACCCTCCCCACGTGGCATGGTGATGTTCACAGGGTTAGCTCGTGAGCCGATGTAATATAAAAATTACCTGTGGTATTTGATGTAAGAAAACGTTATAGAGATGTTATCATCAATTATTCTTTTCAAAGCGCATCAGTGCACAATCCAGCGGACTGTAGAGAGTGGTTTTGCAAGATGAGGTAAACTGCAATCTCGTCCGCAATACCAGACCTCATCGCAACGTATTGTGACGTTGCTGGTGGGGCTCTAAAACAGTGATCTGTGATTGGCCCCGAGGATTCTGGAAGCAACATGGCGCGTTTCCTGCAATGTCTTTGGTAGCGCCAAGCATTGGCGCGACGAATTATGCCGGTAAAGTTAATCTACGCAACAGGAAGGCGTTCGATGCCTATGCTGATATTATTTCAAGAGAAAGTGTTATGACATGTTGGCTGCTATGCTTTGTGTAACGTTGGCTGACGATGCACAATAAAGAAAACAAAACATGCCCAATGAGAGCGAGTCGTGCAAATCACTGGAGGATGCCTTAATGATAGTCTTGAGGTGGCCACTTTATTTACATTGTTTTGATGTATATACCGGTAATGTGGTTATGCCGCACGTCTGGGAAACCAGTGGTACGGGGTTGGATTCCCTGCGGTGCCTGCCCTTCCTGCGAGAGTGGGAGATAGGCGACGCTGTGTTGCCTCAGCAGCTGAGTGCGTCGTAAAACCCCAGTGACGACGATGGGTGGAGGAAATGGCAGGTAAATCACCATTTGAATGTTGCAGATGTTCAGATGTTTCTGCGAATGGGGTAAACCGGAGCTGCTCTTGCCCTTCGTCCGTGCATTTGTTTTTGTCTAATGCTCGGTTCTCTTCACAGGAGCCAACGCCAGCTCCAGCTCCGCCTGCACCGCGCGTGCTGCCGCCTTCCTCGCGCACCTTCCCGAAGCGTCCGGCGCCGGCGCCGCTGTCCCGTGTGCCTGCTACGCCCACCAAGCGGCCGCTGCCAGCGGCAGCGCCGCTAACGAAGCGCGTGGCGACCGCTCTCGTCCCGGCACCGGCGCCGCCCGCCAACAGCTTCGCGGTCGCACCGGAGGTGGTGTCGGTCGACTCACCGCCCGAAGCGCCGCGGCCGCCCGCCTCGCCGGCCAGCAAGCGGCGCCGCCACTCTGGCTCGAGCGGCGGCGAGGGCCCGGCCACGCCAGCCGCCGCCGAGCCGGTCGCCTCGCCTGCCTCGGCCGTCGCCTCGCCGGCGGCAGCGCCCGCGGACGCGCCGCCGCCGCCGCCACCGCCACCGCCTCCGCCGCCGCCGGCGCCGCTGCCGGCCCCGCTGCCGGCGCCGCTGCCGCCGGTGCAGCCGTCACCTGCCGCCGGGCCGCCCGCGCCGACGTCGCTTGCGCAGGAGATAGTGCCGGTGCCGCCGACCGCGGCCGGATACGGACAGAGTGGCGTGGTGAAAGTGGAGAAGATAGACATTGCGGATGACGACGAGGGCCTGGCGGCGCTCGGTCAGGTGGTCGACTACGAGGGTAGCTACGACTCTGACCAGTCGCTGGGCGCCATCCCCATCTCGGACCCCGGCCAAGGTCAGTCTCGGAGCGGGGCCGCGGTATGGCTGGACGCAAGCTTGTCACCAATTGCTGCTCATTTGTTACGCTCATATCTGGAGTGATGTTTAGAAATGGCGTGAATTTCAGGGCATAATCACTGGAGTAAGGGTAACATTTTAGGGCTTTTGAGTTGCTGTAAAGGACATGCATGTTTTAGGGCTGAGAAGCTGCAGCTGGCCTCCTGCCGTTCCTCAACTACGGAATATCATTCGGAGCACATACGGAATGAATATGAATATGCTGCTGGAGCGTTGGGAAAGCAGCAGGGAGCTGGACGGCAGGGTCTAATCCAGATACGTACGAATACAGACAAGCGTGCGTCGCACTTTGGAAAACTGAACGCTCCGGCTTACGACCTGCTCCGCGATTCCTTAGAATTGCGTCGATTCACGCTTTCGCTGTTTCAAACCGGTGCTGCCGACACAACAGTCAGTCTGCCGCATTGGATGCGGTCGGACAGACCCGTGGTGCAGCCGAACCGAGCTGTGACGAGCGTCGGGGTGGTTGTTGCAGGTGGGGCGATGTTCGCGGCAGGCACGTCGGAGGGCAGCGCCGGCACAGGTAGGTCTCCGTCCGCTCGCACCGGGAGAACACTGTCTGCTGTCGGGCTCGTTGCCAGCCAGGGGATGAGCCACGCAAACTCGAACGAAGCGATTGCAAGAGGCAGGCATACTCCGGGCTTTATTTGGGAGCGCTGGGAACGTCCCGATTCGCGTTGGTGCTGGCCAAGGGATCATAGATGTCGGCGCGCCCCAAAACATGGCATTGATACTGTGGTCCGCGGCGGCTTTTCGTTCATGTCGTCAAGGCAGTGCTACACAGAATTGATATTCCAGGCTTTGGCTGATCATAGGTCACAGTCGTAGGTGGGAATGCTGGCTGGGTCATCCCCATATTTCACGTGCACCACAATGCCAGCGAAGAAAAGCTTTGCTGTGGGGTAAAGGCCTTTACGGGTAGCATACATTGCCCAATCCACTTCATACCCATCATTTCGTGTCCATGCCCTTTCTATACTCATGCCTAATCTGTTGTGGTCGCACGTCGTTGTTGTGCTCGCATTTTCCTTTCGCATTTTCCGGCTCTGGTTATGAATTATGGAGAAGCTTCAGTAAAGTTTGACCCCGAACGTACGGTTTTGCGTTCATGATTGATGAAGCTAATTAGGCCAAAAAAGCACGAACGTCATCATTTTTCAAGTATATTTCGAAGCATCTACCCAGCTTTAGTAACGTTCCACCCATGGCAGTACCTATGCCATTGATGGTCACCAAATCAGAGCCCAGCCCAGCCTGCTACCCATTCTATACCATATGGGCACCCGGGGTTTACCCAACCCGCGTAGTCCTTTACTGTGGGACCTTCGATTCGCTTCATTTCGAGTAACATGAGACCTAAGGATATATGATGCGTACTTTCCACGACTCCCGTAGATTAAAGGGAATTGGACTACTGAAAGGTAATTATATTGTGGAAAGGTGTGGCCTCATATATATTTGTCGCTGCCAACCGTTCTGAGTTGAACATCTGGTCAGTCTATCAGAAAATTGGCCCGGAAAAGCCGAAGGAAGAATGCTCTTCACCCTGTAGATGGTTAGGGTAAAAGTGCGATAATCAACGTTACGTTGTATTTAGTTTCCTTTCAACTCACAAAACTAGCTAACCTAAAACAGTTCTATCTAAACGTTATGGAAACTTGATCGTAAAAGACGTTGGTGGCGGGAGGTTGACAGATGTTCAGTAAGCTGCACTATGCTGCCGGGATGGATGTGATTCGTGGAGATTACATGGAATTGCGCCAGGCTGTATGTCTGCCTCCTTTGCTTTCCTTCTCAGTATCGATGTCCCACCTCAATGTGGACCGCTCTTATCGCCTTGCCGTGACGTTGATCACACAAGAAATTTAACGAATGAATAAAAAATCCTGAAAATTGCAACATTGAGGCCATTTTTGTGTCTGTCACCTGGTTTCCACTTTAATTATCCTGTTCGTTGACTGGCTCAGAACATGTCAAGAAATAGCTCAGTTCAGCTCGTGGATTTTCAAATGTAGTATTCTGCTGCGCCCTGCCCATAGGGTTTAGTCGGGTGGGGCTGACTTGCCGGAGGAATGTTGCTCAGATTGAGTTCGTGTGGGGCGGTGACTCAGCAGACAGTGTTCTCCCGTCATTCCATGTGTGGTTGTGGGGTGTGTGTACGCTTGTTTTTGTCGCTGCAACGCTCCCGACAGTTAACAACGTAACGGTAACGTTGCCTGGTAACGTAACGGTACACGATCGCGGCCAGACGTCGATAACGTAACTGGCGGGCCGTTCAGTGTCAGCGCGCTTCGTGGCGTTTCCGGCAGTGGCACAACGCGCGGCGCCGGGCACCGATCTGCGTCGTGCTCTAGCTGCAGCCCTACGACTGTGGCTTGTGGAAATTTCGCGCTGCGCTGTGGGCAGTTTTGCGGTCGGCATTTTGAATGGTTTTGTATGATATTGCTCCATCGAGCGGTATTGTTAGAGCAGCCAGAGTACAGACGGTAGAATTGCACGAGACCCACGATGCGTCTGACACTGGATGCCTCGCGTTCGTCTCTGTTTGACTTTGTGGCCAGCTTTTGCTTTGTACAGTGCTACCGTGTGTCTTGAAACAAAACATGTGAAATTAAAACCGCAATTAACCCACTCTCACAAAACGGTAGGCAAAATTTAAATGCGGTGCATTGCAGTCAGCCAGTCCATCCCCTCCCGGCTAGGTTAAGATAGGGCAGCGTTAGGAGCGATAGAGCCCGTTAGGAACAGGCTAGGTGAGGCAGGCAGGGCCGGTTAGGACGCGCGTTTGGGCCGCTCGGCGTGGTGGGAGAGGGGAGATAGGCACCGCGCCGGCCGCGATGTGGCGCCCGCGCGTGCGCGGGTCGCGCCGCCACCGCCGCGGGCGGCGCCGCCACCGCCGCGGGCCGTGCCGCCACCGCCGCGGAGCCGAGCGTCGCCCGGCACTGCCAGACCGGCCCCTGCCCGCAGCCGCACAGGTGAGTCCAGCTGTCTTCTTTGTCACGGCGCCGTCCGCCGCAGGCCGCACTTCGCCATGCCCGGTTGGCGGGCGTGAAGAGCAGCCGGCTCGTGCTGGCCAGGCCCTGTGCGGGCTGCTGTCTCCTCTGGTGTCGTCATGCCGGGGGCCGCCTGCCGGCCGGTGTTGGAGAGTGCTGCAGGCGTGTTGTGGTTAGCGACATGCGTTAGGTAGGAACTACTGAGGCACTGGCCAGCCGCTGACAGCACATGATCATTGGCTGGTCCGGTAATGTAATATGTTTTGCTTTTGAAATCCTCTAGCGGTATGAATGCGTTGCTTATCTCTCAGTATAAATCAGTCAAACGATTGCTACATGTGGCGTTCGGTGTTAAAACCCACTTAAGATCTTCAGGGGATGGATACAGATATGGGGTTCCAGTAAAAGTTATCCAGTGAGGTATCCAGTGAGGTATCCAGTAAAAGTTACATGAAAAATGCAGCTGTCACAAATGTGTTCATTCCCCCATTAGATTGTACCGGGGTTAAGAGGGCGCGTTTTTGCAAATCATGGACCTGATAAAAAACTGGGCGATCTTTTTTATCGCAGGCACTAGTTTTACGTCTCCATTTAATCTCCACAACTTCAGGCAATTGACTCTTCCGTAGGTTATGTTGCTGCCTGACAGGGGCGGGCTAACGCCTTTGCCCATGTCACTTTATGTCCCATTGGGTTTGTCATCATGAGGCCATCCAGGTAAACTATAATACCCTCAGCATATAAATCGGGTTTTAAGCTACACATTGCCAGGGTGAAAGCCATTCGTTGGGAAACGTTATAACGGGGCCCACGTACTGGTATAAGGAAGGCGGGAGAATCATGATTTGTCGGCATTGAGAGGTCCCGAAAACCCTGCAGCTTCTATGTGCCAGGAGGCACTGGTTAAAGAATGCAGCTCTTGAATGTCACTCGTGGCCATGAGGTCGGCTAGCAGCGTCGAACCTTTCAAAACGCGTCGCAGTTTCTACCGGACAGCGCCTTACATCATTCTGAGCTCAAAATCCAGTCCATGTCGATCCGAGAATGAAAATTGTGCGTTTTTGGGTGCGAGCAAAGGTGACATAGGTGTTTCCTAAGCATAGGAAACTGGGAATAACCAAGGCGACCCCCTTTCTAAGGGAGATGAACGTAGCTTGTCGTTCATTCACCGGTCTGTTTCGTGATGCAGTTAGGAGGCATATTTCAACGTATTCGTCCCCAGCTTACCTTAGCTGACGCTCATCTGTCAATGGTAACTCGCTATAAAGCACTAGTAACTTGGGTTAACCCATTTGAACGTGGTGGATACCAAACGAGCACACAAAACAAACAACACCTCTCCAATTACCATCAATAATTTCCATAAGGCATGTTAAGTCCGATGTAGCAGAGTACTATGTTATACCGGTAGTACTACAGAGTATTACCGGTATAACAGAGCACTTAAGACCAGTCCAGGCTCCTTCTAACTGCTTACGCACCAGACATCGATAATATGTAAAAAAACATTATCCATACCGTATAGTTAATGATCGCAGTTGACGGTGAATACGGACATGCTACTTACACCTTATGGTCGGTCATCAAGACCGAAGTTCCTGGTGGTGCTAGGTGGGGTCATCGCATTCGCATGTCGGTGTTTTCAGTTCCCCATTCGATTGCAGTTGATGTCTTCTGTTGGAACTGATGTAATTATGGTATTCGCAAATTTGTAATTTCAGTGTTGTGTTTGATGCAGTTAGTGTCACTGGCTGAAACCGAGGTCACATCTTTGCGATGCGAACATACCGGCGAATGGAGGCGAAACATGGCGTGACATCGGTTTTGAACTTGTTTCGGCTGTGTCTGCAACGTGACAAACGGAACAGGTGCTTTGCGAACAGTGACTGGTACGTAAGCCTTGGTGAGTTGCGCAAGTTTATTGTTACTGGTGATGCCGGATACCTCCTTACATGGAATGCACCTTAACGCTTTATCACTTCAGAGGTATGGGCGCCTTTGCTGCGATGTTCCCCGCTCGCATACTGAGCGTCTTTTGTTCCCTGTAATAGTAGTGACCGAACCCCGTTCAGCGTATATAAATATGGCGTTTGGATTGTCTTCTAGAAAAGGAGGTTTCAGTTTTGAGATTGCGTAGTCATGCTGCTCGTTACCAATATTTATGTGAATGCATCGAAACTAGAGCTGAGGGTTAGATTCACAGAATTCAAACATTGGAGTCTTGTAATCCTATAGTCTTAAAATGACGTTCCAAGCAAACTGAGATAAAATTCTGAAAAGCTGCACCAGTATGGAATCCCAAACATACCATGGACAAACGATATATGTCCTTGCCAATGCCTCAGCTGGTTAGACCGCCTGCATCGCAACCCACCCACCCATGGCGGGGTGGGCTCTAGTCCAATCCGCCCACGCGTGGCGGGGTGGGTGCGAGTCTCTTTAGGCACTGTCTACTTATCGTTAGCAGGTATGGCCCGCGGCCGGTGGCAGCAGCTGCACTAGTCACTTATTGAATGTTAAGGGCGCGCCAACTGTATCGGTTATTTGCGCCCATTGCTGTCTGTTTTGCCAAGCTGCTCTGGAGGTCAGCTGGCGGCAGAGGGCAGGACGGAGCGAACCGAGCACTGATCTACGTTAAATCTCCGCCGCGAAACTGTGCCGTTGACCTGTGATTGAACGATGGAATGTCGGGGGTGAGGCCTTGCACAACAAACTGCTCAGCGTAAGGTCTTATCCCAGAAAGTCATTCATTCGTTGTTTTGAAATGACAGCTTCAAATGGATCTTTCCAACGTCGTTCAGAGTGCCCTTCAGATCGCCGGTATCTCCAGCCGTAGGATCCGCCCAAGGGGTTGCGAAAATGACGGGAGCTCTCGCCGTCGAACATTTGTGATGACATTTGCTGTACTTCAACAAATCTGCGTCCGAGGGTGAAAAGCTGTTGTGAACAGTTTTGTTTGGTGTTAATTCGGGCATCCTGTATTTTCCAGTGATATGCTGCACCCGTGGTGCTCGTGCACGTGCGCTGTTGGGAGCAGCGTGTTTTGCGTGGCGGCGGTGACAGATTTCTGGTTTCTGTGCCGGACCCGCGTCTGTATATTTGAGAACGTAAATTGCGCCATAGGTCCTCCCGCATGGTCGCAGGGTATTGTCGCTTGGTGTGTAGAGACGTTTTACTCAAACTGCCGCATACATTTCTGTGGGGTATTGATATCCGCTGCACGCATTTCGCTTCTTAATAGCAAGCCGAACCCCAAAATACGCTGCTGAAATGGAGTTGATATACAACTATATGAAATACGGCGGCCAATACCGTACCAAACGAGTCTCATCGTGTAAGCCTACATAGATAAATGCGTGCCGAATCCCGGTTACAGGACTTGTGAGCAGAAGCGGAATTAAGATGTTCGCGATATTGGCGGATGTTGAAGCATTCGTTGAACGTTGATGCCCTATTTGACCGAAAGTGATCATGTGCAGCTTGCCGTATTCTGAGGATTTCGGGGATTGTTTATGTTGTAAATATGTCTACATGAAACAAACACACTCAGGCGATCTGCACACAGTTTGTGTTTGGATGCTTTGGTGCAGCTTTTGGGGCTGCGGCATACGACTCAGATGCCGTCTCGGCGTTGGGCATTATGGCACCGCGTCATTGCGCTGTGCCATTCGTTCTGCCACTTATAGATAAGACGCGCGGAAGAATTGAGTTACGCTAAATGCGCGGACTTTGTGGCACGTTTCCACGATTCATTTGATGCATTCCTTCCAGGCCTTTGCCGTTTACGCTATGTAAAGTTCCTCAAGTTGTGAGTTATAACATGGTGTATGCGAGGCTTGCGCGCTTTGGCGACTGCCTTTTCAATGACGGCAATGGTTGAATATTTCTTCGTGGAAAAGCTACTTTTTCGTGGTGTATTTTTCCGCTTGTTAGAAATAAGTAGGATGGTAGAACTTGTGAAAGCAGCTCCAATGCTCACTATGACTGTCACAACAACCCTATCCTTGTTTTGCAGGCAAATAAGTAAAATTTACCTTCTTACCGTTGGAAACAGGTCCGTTGGGTGTGCTCTGGGGTGTCCCGCCTGCACGAAGGCCGTAGGCGGCGACACGTACTGTCAGTGAATGCGCTGTTCTGATCACCGCGCGCCTGGATGGAGTAGTGAAGGGTTGGACCCGAATGCGGGGGTGAACGTCATCGTATGTGCATGCGCACGCGTACCGAAATCGCGAGGATTGTAATATGGGGGAGGGGGGGGGGCAAAGCTTTCTAATAGTGCTTGCAACTTTTCTCTAGCAAAGAAATTTAGCAAGCAAGATAAGAGATGCAAAAATAGCAAGTTGCCTACGAATTGGTCGATGAAAATGTATGGCTTTGCAGCCTTTCTACAGGTGGTTTACTTAGTGCTCGGTACGTCGGGACAGATTCGCAACTAGTGTTGGCAATGATGTTAGCTATGAATGGATACTTCGAACAAAAAGCAGCCGTTTTTTTCCAAATTCGCCTCATTTTTGTTTGTGTAGCATGTTCTTTGGAGGTGCAGTTTAAACATAAACTTGTAAATTTGTATTCAAGTAATACCGTACTGTTTTCGGGGTCCATCAAATGAGACCTGTTGCTGTTAAGCCGCAGGTTTCCTCCGCTTGGTCCTCCCGCACAAGTTCTGTACATGAACGGTGATGCCCTGTGCGCGCTATGGCATCTGCGCCTGGACCCATAACCGACGTCACGGCCTGATACATGTCCTCCCCCAGCCGTATGGTGCCCTATCAAGCTCTGTTGCAAGGCAGTAGCTGCGTGCGGTGTAACTTTGGTGTCGTTTCCAGCAGTTGTAGGGCGGTGGTCACGGGCCTTTGAGACGTGGCCACGAGTATTTGGAACGGGTCTCGGAACAACTAGGTTGTTTGCATCCATGCCGCCTGCCAGCGCACCCTGGCCTTCCATTTTTGGCCATGCGATCTGTGCTTACAAACTTTTATCGCGTGACCTTACATTCATGCGCATTTTTAAGCCACGCACCACAAATGCCGATGGCCTGGCGAATGGGAATCCCAAACTGGCTTTGCTGCAAGTGTTACGGTGTGTTTGGAGATGGCTGGGTTGCTAGACTTGTTCCTACGATACTCCCTACGTCGATTAGCCACAGGCCCCCGTTTTCGCTTTTGCCACGCATTGACCAGCCACGACAACGAAGTATTTCACCGCTCGTAAAGTCCTTGTGCGAGTAACAGCCTTGTGCGAAAATTTCACTGCCGGGCACGTTCGGTTCTGTTTGCTCGTCGGGCCAGAAATGCGGCACATGAGCAGATGCACGCTGCAATTTTGTCTTGGCGAAGGTTTTAGCGAAAGGGGAGCAGTTGTGCGCTGCATTAAGTTACTCGTTAAACTCGTTAAAGTTGCTGGCTGCCGTGCGGCGCCAGCCGGTGCCGTGTTCGCGCCTCTAACGCCGTGCACGCTGTGCCCAGCCGGCGACCCGGAGGGCGGTGCGCGCCGGCCGCGCTGCCACATGTGCGGCAAGTGCTACGGCAGCCGAGAGGCGCTCAACAACCACATGACGCTGCATAAGGGCCTCACCAACTGCTGGATCTGCGGCAAGTGCTTTGCCACCACCAGCGCGCGCAACAAGCACGTGCGGGTGGTGCACGGAATCGGACATCTGGCCAAGTGAACGTTCTGTGAAAATGACAAAGTGGTCCCATTGTGCGTGAAAATAAACTGGCTAAATAATCCGGGTGATCGACGTGAACAAATGGTCCGAAGTGCAAGCAGGATGTTTCGGAGTTCGCCCATTTCTTTGGTCATCACAGCCAGTATTTGCTCAGGAACATGGCGACATTGCAGGTCAGTATTGTCACTTCTAGGACGGTTGGGCTCCCTTATCCTTTCATGTTATCAGAAGTCTTGATAATGCGGCCTCAATGCCGCGCAAAGCTGTATAAACCGTTCAGGTTTATTGCCCAAACAGATTAAAAGGAGTGTCCCTTCTTTGAGCATATTTAAAAAGCCTACTCAAGTGAAACCATGGGACCAGTAACGTCTCGCAGACTAGGCAGTGCCAGTGCAACGCCGTCTAGTCATATATATATATATATATATATATATATATATATATATATATATATATATATATATAAAATCAGTTTTGATTATTTTCGTGTCCAAATTACGCTGTCAACGTTTGTAACAGCACTGCGTTTCTTCAGCGCAGTCACGATCGCCGCCATGACCATCGTCGTGGCACCTCCACTATTTCGGATACAAGAACGTTGTGGTTGGCCCGGTGGGCGGCAAGGACCTGTTACCGAGAAGCGCGTTGGTTGAAGTTTGAACCTTACGTCACTATGACCTATGTGATACTCCCATTCCTGAAGCTAAAGTGCGCCTCGTCAAAGAGTGACTGGCGATTGACTGAAGGGACAAATCAGAGCCATAGCACGATGTTTCGTCGAATTCGCTGGATAATAGCTTTATGTTGGCACATTTTTTGCCAGAATAGTGTTTCAAGCTTTCGTAGCATTAATGACACAAATATTTTGGGAAATATGTGTGTTGCAACATTGCACAACACACACGTTGGAAAATTAATGCACATGAAATGTATATTATTTTTTTCATAGTTGTGAGCAGGGAGTTTAATGCAATTTCTCCCGTAGGAGCGGCTACTCCAAATCGAGCTGTTAAACCATCCAGGATTCGAGACATTTGAAAATACCGATCAAAAAGTGCACGTCTGATCTGACAATGAGTGAGAAGTACAAAAAGCTCCGTTTAGTTGAGCGGGCTACATACATGCAAGCTACATGCTCCGTTTAGTTGAGCGGGGTGCGGGTTTCGTGGACGACGCGAATCGGAGCGCGGTGCCGGTACCAAGCGGTGCGCTTGGTACTCTAGTGTTGACTGAAGTGGCCATCGCGACCACCTCGCTTCACGCGGGGTAGCGCCACTTGTGCCTGGCGTCATTTTAAGGCAGGCTTTGAGCCTTTCAGAAGAACGTTAAGTACGGCGTCGCCGGCGGATGGCCGTATTTTTGTATTTGTGGGCTTTGTGTTACCCAGGATTATATATTTGTCTGCTAGCAAGGCATCAGGGAAGTGAAAAGTATGAACTCGCACATGGCACACGGCAATGCACACGGTAATGCAGACACACACACACACACACATACACACACACACACACACACACACACACCACACACACACACACACACACACACACACACACACACACACACACACACACACACACACACACACACACACACACACACACACACACACACACACACACACACACACACACACACACACACACACACACACACACACACACACACACACACACACACACACACACACACACACACACACACACACACACACACGCACGCACGCACGCACGCACCTACGCACGCACGCACGCACGCACGCACGCAGCAGGTATATATATATATATATATATATATATATATATATATATATATACACATGTTTGTATAGTTTTTAATGTCAGGAACACAGTACGAAAATCAGCCTTTGCGAGGTGTATGACGCTTCGACCGTACGCGTGTCAGGCCTGCCACTCATGGAAGGCGTGGATGGGACCGCATGGCGACCGTCCGTTGGTGAAGCGCGACTGGCAGCTGTCGTTGGCCCAGCGGCAGGTCTGTGCACGGCCACCGGCGGAGGGGAGCGGCGTCGCGCCCCACACCTGCCAGTTCTGCGGCAAGAGGTACGGCAGCCGCGACGCGCTCGGCCACCACATGGGTCTGCACAGTGGGCGGACCTCCTGCCACCTCTGCGGCAAGTTCTTCAGCACGTGTGGCGTGCGCAATCGACACATGAAATGCGTCCATGGAGTCCAGGTGTGACTCCGGCGCGAGCGGTGCACGGCCGGTTGGACGTGTCATGGGCTGCGGCCTCTCTAATGCAGTGGACGTTTTCCACGCGCCGTTGAAGTCGTTTCTGAAAGAACGGTGTGGCGTGATGGTTCTGTGGTGATTGGGCCGTGCGATAGTATGGCTAGTTGTTTTTCTGGGATACGAAAATACTCGAATGGAGAACTTGTCCAGTGTACTGACCTATCTAGTTGAAGCAAAGTAAAATTGCGTGATCTTCATCGGTTACGTTGTCTTTTCCGAAAAGTGTACATTTCTTCCTTTTCTGCACTTCCCTTTCCGAAATAATACATGCAGTGTATGTGAGTGTTGTTGGTGCCGTTCATTGGAAAAGGCTTGAGTCAGAATACATCTCAGTGATGCTATGAGGACTTCGCGATAACCGCTGAGTGTTACCAAGTCGACAAAGGTAATTCGCAACATGCCTGAGCGAGGGCCTCAGCAGGTGCCTGCTTCTGCGGTTGTTTATCAGGTCATTAATGCGTCAGTGTCGTCAGAAATTCGCCCAATACTAGGCGCTTGAAATCATGTTTTTTTTCGATATCATAGCTGGCGCAAAATGACCCTAGAAGTCGACGCGCCCTAAAACCCCAATCATCGATATCATAGCTCGGCATTGGTATGTGGTCATGTAGTTGTTAGTGCTGGGTGTCAGGAAAATCAGAAGTTCAGGATTCGGTTCTTGTTGTGCCCGCCCTTTCTGGCAGTCTGAGAGGCAGGCGATGCAATATAGACTTGGCAGAGGAGTGCGTCGTGCAGCGCCAATATACACACCATACGCGTTACACAAATATTGCATATTTTGGGACTGGTCGTGCTGGTCGATTTTTTCAAATCTCCAGGCTTTCTTGCAACATAACATTTTTTTGCGATATCAACTGCATTAATGGCCGTTGTTTCAACTGCTGCTGCACTGTGTCAACTGCAGATGCGCGGCCGTTGCTTCGTAATGTAAAATACCTCTGGTTTGCCTTATTTGTTTGTTCAGCAAGTTCTTACGCTTATATTGCAGCTTGCCCTCATCCCCTGGTTTTGCCAATTACTATATTACTGTGAATATCTATGTTGTCGTGAGATCTGTTAACCGCATGTATTGAACTGCTGATATTGTTGCGTGGCGCTATATTTTCTTTGCTTAAACCTGGGCTTCTGTTCCTTATATAGGTGCTACGCACGGCTCTCAGCATCGAAGCGCGCCGGAGCAGGTACTCGGACACCTGTTGTGTGTGTGGGTGGGTGGGTGTGACGGGGGGGGGGGGGGGGGGGGGGGGGTAACAAGCACGGAAATACGATGCGGAACGAATGGATGACGACTCCTGGGCGCAGGGTCTGGTATTTAGCAGTTTATTGGACCAACACATTTTCATGGTTGTTAGTCATATTCTATGAACGTTTGACCATGAGATATTCTGTACAGGCATTTCATAGGTGGAGCAAGACTATGCAACATTCAGGGAGGGCATGGACCGCACGTACATGCAAGGCGTCAGGCTTGCCGAAGCGTTTCATCCGTTCAGATCATTTTTCAGAAAACGTCGCATGAACTGTTCCAAATTGTCGACGTCGTCACCCTTTGGCCTCACGCTGCCGCGATAATTCAGTCTCGCCACCCACATCATGCCGAGGTATTTTTATGGATTGATTGCCGGGCCGAGGAAAAACCGCGGCATTTCCTCGAAGGTGTTGTGTTACGAAACAAGCTGCCGATTGTGTAATTTACCGCCAACAGCGGCGCTGGTCTGACTGCACGCTTGGTGACGATAGTTTGTAGTCTGAACGCCATGCACCTCATCCCTTTAGCCTGCGCACCGTTGGCCATATTTGCATGCATGATGCCGTGCGCTGATCGCAGCCTGTGCGGTTAGATAACGCCGCGGGACGTGGACTGCGCTGTGCCCAATGCGGCCGCGGATACGCCAGCCACAAAGCGCTCTCCAACCACATGGCCGTGCACAGGGGCAAGACGTGGTGCGTTCTCTGCGGTCTTGTGTTCTCGTCGACCAGCAATAGGACCCGACACATGCAGCGCAGGCATCCGCAGTGTTAGCGCCCGACCAGGTTTGTGAATGGCCCTCTCATGCCCAGATGACTTGTGTTTATTGCACAGGGTTCGTTGCATGACGTATGTAGCTGGCGTTTCCCGCGAGACGAACGCAACCAGGGTTCATGACTTGCTGACCTGCGTTCTGCCCATGCACGTTACATGTTTACGGTGTGGGACATCAAACATTGGCTACTGTTTGATATCGCTGAAGGGTACGTGGTCCGCAAGATGCATGGCGTCTCTATGGCGTGGATACATTTAGTATCCATACAGTGTGTACAGCTCAACCATTTTCGGTAATTATATCAACTCTCCCCATTGCAGATAGCTGCATGACGAAAGCAAAAAAACAAAAGCAAAAACAGAAGAAAAAACGTGACGCCGTTGGATGGATACATCTACATGAATGTATTCATGTTATCCACGTCATTTTCAACCGGCAAACTCATGCAATATTTCAACGTCTTTTCAGAGGAAGGTGACTCCAGACTGCAGTGCAAGATATGCTTCAAGCGATTTCGATCTCAATCCTCCTGGTACCAGCACCGTCGGACACATGAAGGCGTCACCAACTGTCCAGTGTGCGGCCGCTTTCTCAGCCGGGTGTTCGATGTGCGGCGCCACATGCTGTTGATACATCATATTCCCAAGGATCAGATCGATTCGCTCCTGTCGGGCTGTTGATTGGGAGGAGTGTCTGGCAAAGCGTGCCATGCTCGTCGTGCTGTGAGCTTCATTGTGAATTGTACGTATATTTTTGATGTTTTTGAATGGAAAGGGACATAAATAAACGTCGTGCAGCTCCTTGCTTTGCTCTGATACAAGGCAGTTTGGGGAGCCTTGGGCTTTGAACCGCAGTTCATGGGGTAGGCTGCCAGTATGCTACGATTGTCTTGATTCCACGTCTGAGTACACCTGCGTTCGTAGTCCGGTGAGTTTGAAATATTTTTCATTCTGATCTGAGCATGCCTGGTGGCTCCGGATAGTGCTGCCACCAATCACAGCCGAGGCATGCAGCTGCTGCCACCAATCACAGCGGCGGCTACTGCGGCCACCAATCGCAGCCGAGGCATGCAGCTGCTGCGGTCACTAGTGCCGCTCATGTAGTGACTATCGAGCTGGGCAGTGCTGAGAGCTCAAGACCAAGTTCCTCAGGTCCAGTGCACTGCAGGACCGCCTGAGGGTTTAAGACCAAGATGTCTCAGGTCCAGTGCACTGCAGACCGCGCTTGCCACGCCAGATAGTGTGTAACGTTTGAAATAAAACCATAACCACGCACACATATTGTAACGTTCAGTTTGATTTGCGTAGAACTCGTCATTTGTGAACAGTGACAATGATGTTACTGATTCCATGCGTCTTTGAATTAAAAAAACGAATCAAACCGCTTTTTCGTCCGTCCGCGGTGTGTCAAAATCCGGAAAAAACCACGGGCTTTCGTAGCATGTCGCTAGTAGATTCCTCTTGTAAAGGTAGGAAGCTTCGGTATACGTTATCTCCAGTTCAAATCCATTGAACCTAAGTTTTACTCACGCGCAAAATACTTGCCCACTCTCCCGTCAGACTCCAACACCACATACTACTGATGGTCAAAAACGAACCTGCTGATGCCTAGACGCAGTTTTGGCAATCACGAAGGTGGTATTGAATCTATTCACTTTAGGCGTGGCTGCACAACTTCGCTGAAATGTTATGGCAGGGGCTCTGCGTTTTCCGGCAGTGACGGGCAGATGCATTCACATAGCTATCCGTTTCCAACTCGAATACCGCATTACACGAAACAACCAGCTATGACCACCAATACCGCCTATATATGGCCACGCTCCGGCCATTTCTGCCCATTGACTGGCCCACTCCTCGTCTTTTAGGCGCGGAGTTCGCATGCTCGATATGTCACAGAAGTTTCCAATCGAAATCGTCGTGGTACGCGCACCGCGGCACGCACGCGGGCCAGACGACGTGCCCCGTGTGCGGCAAGTTCCTCAGTCGTCTGGCCGACGTGCGCCGCCACATGAACCTGCAGCACAACCTGGCCAGGGACGCCGTCAGTGCGATGCTGGCCCGGCGCACCTGACGCAACTGTGAGTCGGGCCACGGCCGCCGCCGCCGCCGCCGCCGCCGGGGGCGGGGCGTCGCACGCGGCGCGGCTCGAGCAGGGCCAGTGTGCGTCCAGGTCTGGTGGCTCCGGCCAGGAGGTCGCGTTGGGTGTCAGGTTTCCTGCGCTGCAGGCTTTGTTGGGATGAGCAGGAGCCGGGGCATCGGCGCACTATCACGGTGGAAGAGGCAGGCCTGCCGATGAGGTTTACGGCTGCGAGTCGCGGCATCTACTATCGCGGCAGCTGCCGCGTACCTTTATGCTCTTATTGCTTGGGTCTGGCTTTGCGTATTGCGTGATCTGTCTGCGCCCGAGTGCGGAACTGCTAAAATGGGGACACGCCTAATATTCAGTTAGTGGTATTGAACCTCGTCGACAAACACTATGTCCCGACGATGTGCTATACGCCCAACTGGACATGCTTGCGGAACCAGTCCCTTCCCAGAAAGCATACGTCTCGAAGTTTAAGTTTAGGGGGCAGTTAAGAGCAGGTGTCAACGGTGTATGATGCCGTGGGTGATGTCTCCTGCCCCGGGCCGTTCGCCTCCCGCCGGACGGGCCCCAGGCGCCGCCTGTGGACCTGCACGTCCTCCCGACAGCGCCCGACTTCCGTTGCGGCCGGTGCGCGGCCGCGTTCCGCAGCTACGAGTCGCTGCTGCACCACCACAAGACGCACGAAGGCCTGACGCGGTGCCCGCTGTGCGACACGTGCCTCAACCGGGTATCGGACCTGCGCCGCCACATGGGCCGCGTGCACAAGCTGGAGCGGCCTCAGGTGGCCGCCATGCTGGGGGCGGGCGCGGCGACTGGCAGGCCGCCGCGCCGCCGATCTGATGACAGCCAGGGCCCGCCGCCTGTGCCACTTCTGCGGGCTCCTCCTGCCAGACGTTGGTGATACGTCTGCGGACGTGTATTTGATTTTGGTTGCTAGGGCTGTGGGGTGCCATGGGGCTCGCAGAAGATCCTCTTGTATTTTAACCACTTCGGTCATTAGTCGCACGGATTGTGTTTGACATGTGGTGGTGTTGTCGCGCCTGGAGAAGAAATTGTGCCTGGATCCTGGCTTCATTGGAGCGCTCGGAGTTTTACTCTTCATTATTAGCGTTTGGAATGTGCCACATGTCAGACATGCTTTGGACTCATGATATTGTGCGACGTCCGATCCTATTGTCAGTTCATTTGGCCTTCACGTCTTAAGCTAGTATGATTTTAAGGACCGTGGACTTGACGTGGTACACGTTTTATCGTGTACTCCGCGCACTTACGTGCTTCTGATGTTATCTCAAAGAAGTGTAGACGAGAGACATTCACAGAATGGTTGCCGCTGCATATCAAGCAATGTCGCGTTGCTTCACGTCCAGTCTCGGTTTGGCCCTGATTGGTCGATCGGTTGAGCGTCTGCCAATCGACCGCCGGTGTTTGTCCTTCATAGATATATTATGATCTGGCTCGTGCAAAAAGTATATATTTGTGAAGGTGGATGGTTGTGACGAGGAGAGCTTGGATTGTTCGAAGGCCGTGGCATGTAGTGCATTCTGCAATTATTGGGAGCGGCCATCCCCATGACAGTTTTGAGGAGTACTGAAAATAAAATGGATTTGTTGCTGCTGGATTTTGCATTAATGCAGCGATGCATCAAAGTGTGGCTCCTTTTTCTTTAACAGATAACACTTTTTCACACCCTCCGCAGTTCATGTAAAAAAGGCGTGCACCCCAAAGCCTGACAAGCTTGGCGTTCTAACTTGGCACTGATGTCATGAATGCGCGCCTGTACAAAATCGTTTTATGTTATCTGCCACAGACGCGTGTTCTGGGCTTGTCAGGCCCGGGACGGCGCAGAGATGTGAACAGCTCGGGAGGGTGGGTGGCGCTGTGTCCACGCGCTGTTCCGCGACATCCCTGCTCACGTCATGCATACCCCTTTGTGGGGCGCCAGGGGTTACGGCCATGGTCTTGGACGTGATTTAAATCCGACACCATCCGCGCAGAAGTCCAAATAGGCACCAACGGACGGCTACTGTGACTGTTCCGAAAGAAGCGCGATCCGTGAAACGTCCTCTGTGATCCCCGGCTGGGCTGCTTATTTTTGCATTGCTTGCCCGTAGTCTCAGTGTAGTGCATGCTTCATGGACATTATGATTTTGGCCGATTCATGGGTGTATGGACTGAGTGCAAAATGCAGAAACGATAGACGGTGGGATTGGTTGTCATTTGCTGACAATGATGCTATGGATGGTATGGATGCTATGGATGTTTGACGTCGCAAAAAAACTATAAAGAGATACACGCAAATCATGCTACCAATGTGCATTGTTCATCTAAGTCGGTTGCACCTCCTGAAGATCATTTGCCTTTTTGTGCTTAAAATGAACAGGACATTGTTGGCCCAAAAGGCAGCTTTTCAACACCAACAACTCATAAGCAACTCAGATATTGGCCTACTCACCTATACCTCCCGTCGTGGTGCTGAAGCCTCAAATACCTACAATTAAAACACCACTGCCTTGAATTCATTCCCGTAGGATCCGTGTTTACGTCCCTGCTTCTACAGAGTTTACAGTAGGACTAACTGCAGAATTATTGCAGGAGAAAGTGCAAGCTCCTGCCAAGGAGTTGTTGAATTTATTTATATGTGTCGAAACTGTCTACTTGCTTAAAAAAGCCTTTCGTTCGTGCTGTGTGTGTGGGGGGGGGGGGTACTCAACCCCTCGAATGTTTTTTTTTGCAACCGCATTTCTATGCAACTTTCAGAGCCAAGGAATAGTACGATAGCGATGCGCTCCACAGCGCTCTACGCTTGTGCGCGTGGCTCAAAATGCTTTTGGCCACCCCTCAGCATGAGCACGTCACCGTTTTGAGGACTGAAATGCACCACACGACTGGCTGCTTCGACGGCATGACGCCGCTGGTGGCCGCGAGGAACGGGCCTGGATGCACTGAGTACACTGAGCTCACCAGACGGCTCTGACAGACGAGCGGCACAACAGCCGGCCGGCCGCCCGCCTGCCCCGCTCACTAGGCCGCTGTTGTCTTGCAGGTGTGCCGTGGCCGGCGGCCGGCGGCCCAGCCCTGTGCCGCGTGTGCCAGCGCCCGGCGCCGGCCGGCCGCCGCTGCCGTTTCTGCGGCGCCTCGCTCAAGCCGCGCCGCACGCTCGACATGCTGCAGCAGTACACGGAGCGCGCCACGCAGGCTCTCGAGACGGGCAGCATCTACCGACAGGTGTTCTGGAATTGGTGACGCGGCCGCTGCCGCTGGTGACACGTCGGTGCTGGTGGTGCGGCTGGTGGAGCTGGTGGCGATCGAATGGTGTTACCACCAGCGAGTGCCAGTCGCGGAACAGCCGGGACTGCGGCATGGGAGGCTCTGCATTGCTCGTGAAGTGTGTGTTTTTATGTGCGAGCAACGTGTGGTTTACTAATACACCGTCAGCGACTCGTTAATATGTTGATTTTTTTTTCGATGGTACGCAGACGATGACGAAGACAAATGATGATGGCATCATTTTATAGCAGAAGCCGAGCGAGGTGCTGCCGGCGTTTATACCCGTTAATAGTCGTTAGTTGGTGGTTATTTACCTTCGCTCAGAAATATGTTGAGGTGAAGTAATTGCGGATGCCGGAGAGTGAGCCTGATAAATTTGTTGCCTGAAATGCGGAAGGGAGAGAATGGGTCCCGTTGCTCTCCCACCAGCAGGCATCGCCATGTATATGGAAAAGGCAACTCCGCCCTGAACCAGTGTCTCTTTGTAGTTCAGGCATGCCAGCAGTTTTTGAGAGCGCGTCGGAATTACAACGTCGATTTTCATGAAATGCTTGGAAGGACGGTCATTCTTTGTGATACCGTTTTCAAAAGTAATGGAGGTCAATTTCTGTCAGCTAGCTGGTACAATCAGTACGGGCTGCTCTGTGGAGGGAATGTTGTGCATTTTGCCTTCGTGGCACTGGTGAAATTGATCAAACAACAAGCAAATAACTTGCATCTGCACCACTGGTAAAAGCGTTAATCACTTGGTAACTTTGTTCCAGAATACAGGCATCGAGCGTGGAGCGAACTGGCTTGGCAGTGCGATCAGTGCAGCAAGAAATTTGTGCGTAAATCTGCCCTTTGCGCCCACAAGAAAGTGCACACTGGAGAAACCACGTGCCAAGTATGCCAAAAAGTGTTCTCGAATAAAACGAACCTGAAAATACATGGGGAAACCATTCATCGCGCTGTTAGCCGCCCTTAGTTGTTTCATCGGCGGGCGGACGTCAGGTGCTGCTCTAAGACATCTGACGGCAAAGCCTCACCTGTGTCGCTCAGCATGCAACTCGGTGTTGGTGATGCATTCGCGTGTTTGTCAGTGCTTCTCCCTGTGTGAAAGAGGCTGATGTGTGAGGCCGTGAAAAGCCGCGGGTGCAATGCGAATGTGTACATTCTGTGTTCTGTCAACCCCCGTGCAGCTGTGCCATCGACGAATACAGTCTTACGCTGATTTGGGTGTGTTGCTGTTGGCATAGACGTGGAACTGGGAGGTAAATGACGGTCGATCGCCGAAGCGGCGGTGTGCGGACAGTGCATCGGTGGTGAGCGCGGACGTGCGTTACACTCGCAGCGCCGTCTATCGTTGCATGGTCTTGCGCCGAACGCTGGCTAACCCGCCGTGTTACATAGCGTGCTGTTCGGGGCCAGCGAGACGCCCGATATGCGGTTTTTGAAACCTTTTTCGAAATCCGTTCGGAGGTGGGTACGACTACTGCGTGAGATATAACGGAGTGTGGCAAAATTCCTGGATATAACACAACCACGTTGAAACCAGCACGCCCGTGTATCACCCAGCCTGCTCCACAGACCAGGCTCTCGGAATAAGCGTGACGTCATGATGTCTGCGCCATAGTTATGCCAGCAATATCACATCCAGAATACGTTGTGCATTACGCAATGTGTTCTGTCGGGCAATGGCGGACATTTCGTTCCCACACCGTCCGCATTTTCATGGGTATAACGCGGACAACGAAGTGCCGGGATGGCGACATGGGACTGCTGTAACATCAGACGAGGGACGACAGATAGAAGCAGCGTCCTGTTGCCCTCGCTGTCAAAGTGGTCCGCCGCGTATGGCTGCTTCAGCCCAGAGCGCAGTAGACGCTAATGATGACGAGTGGGAGCAGTTCGACGTTGCAACATCCGACTCACGCAAACGGTGATAAATGTTTTCCATTGCACGGAGACGCGTTTTCTTTTAGCGAGAGGGTTGAGGTGGTCTTGAAGGGTGTGGCACACGCGAGGGGTGGTTCCTTTCAACGAACGCTCCGCGTGGTTGTGATTGGTGCCAGTGGAGGCGGTCGGCCAGGTCAAAACTTTGTTTTTTATTATCAAATTCGTGAACTGTATCAGTCCATATCAGCAGGGGAGGCATTGAGCTCCTGGTTTTGGCGTTGAGTGCGGAGTACTTATGCGGACAATAAATGACGTGCATTATGCCTGAAGAGATTGGTTGAAGATGTGTTCTAGCAAATACTGATTCAATTATCAAAATTGAAAATCGGTTTTCGCTACATGGCCTAGAATGGCCTAGGCCTAGATGACGTCATTTAACCAGTACCTCTTGATATATTGGAGGTCGATTATTGCCATGATATGAAGCCATAACTCACGAAGTGACCATGTCAGGCCACAAATGCATTGCCTTGGTACACGACTTTACTGAGAATCCTCGATGCCGGAGTGGACTTAGCATGTTTGAAGCTGATCTTATTTTGGCAATGGAATGCACCACAAGTATTTAAAGGTTGACCCTATAGGGACCTAAGCCATGGAACAAAGTTGCGGCCTACGACGCCTCGTTCCGCAAGTCGCAAATTTTTCAGCCACAAGTCACGACGGGTGATAACTGTATTTTTACGATGCCGGGCGGGAAGCAATAACAATAACACCTTTGACGCTGGAACCAGCATTTTTAATCAGCACATACTGCATAAATGTAGGAAGTAAAGGGGTCATACCTCGTGTGACGAGAACCCCCGCCAGGCCGCTCTGTCACCTGCGCCAGTAATTTCCGTGTCTTTGCAGATAAACATCGCCCTTGGTTCTCCATGAAATTGAAAGAAGCTGGCAGCTACCGGTGCACACAGTGCGACCGCTCCTACACCCACTCGTCCGGGCTGGTTAACCACATGGAGATGCACCGCGGCGAGACTAAGTGTGATTTCTGTTCCCGGGTCTATGCCACGAAGGGTTCGCTGAAAAACCACATCGAAATGGTTCATTTCAAGAATGGACAACCTCGACAGTCGTCCGACTAAGCGAGTGGGGTGTAGAAACTCAGCACAGGCGCCAAAATGCTGTTTTTTTTTTGGGGGGGGGCGAGTGGGTGAGGGCTGAGTGGTGTGGGCGTGGGGAGAGAGGGAGTGGCGCCACGTCGCCGTGGGCATTTACATACTGGCGGATCTTGCCAGTCCTGGCGCCACCAACGCGCTATAGATGACTTCGTAGGAAGGACCGCGTAAACATGTTCATGGTGAAGCGGCTCGCGTGCATGTTACCCTGGAGGACGCTGGTGTGATCAGTGTAATCTTAGGGGCTTGTTTTGTGCGACATTTAGAGTTACCATTTGCCCGAGCCCTGCTGTGACCTTACACATTTACCTGCACTCCTCAAGTCAGCCCACTACCGGTGAACGTAGCAATGTTGAAGGGGGAGATATTACAAAACGCGTGTATTTGTGATTTGTCTAAGTGATTATTAGTAGTAAGATGTGCAGCTGTCATTCATGCGAGACCGTTGACTGGCGCACACATGAATTGAAACGTGATTAACGTGTATAAAGCTTATTAGCTCGGAAAGCTTGTCCAGTTTTATTTGCGGCGTTTACGTCGGCGAGTGTGTTGCATGGCGTTCATTTGTTATGGGTACGTTTACCACCGGCGTGGATGCACAGGTGGGTCGTGTTAATCAATTGACATTTATGTGAGCGCGAGCCACGCACGGCGCAGGTGTTGTGGCGCAGGGGGCTGAGGCCCCTGTTTGTGTGGAAACAATCATTGGCCGCAGCTTGCTAAGCGGATCAGCTTCGTCCGGGTCATCCACATCAATATACCGGCGCACGGCATCTGCCCAGTTTTTTCCGTCATCATCCCTATGTGGTACGGCAACCAGCAACTGCTATTCCTGTTGGGTCAGCGATGTGCTGTTCACTCCTGACGACACGAACGCACCGCACCCCGACAAAGTGTCGTGTTGACATGTGAAGTGTCATTTGGTTCGAAGACTCCCAGGAGAATGGCGGGGTAGCATCACGTGCAGTTTTCGGGGTGTGGCCCCCTGAAAAGAATGCATAGCTATATGCGTAGGCAGTTGCTTCATGTTCCCGGATCCAGGTGATCCCTTTTGTCAGCGGCTGGCTTTTACGGTGCAGCATTTTGCTAACTTTGACTGATTTGGTCCATGTGGAAGACTTTGATGAATATCATGTGCAATCATAGCGAAATTGGTTAAAGGTGCCTGACTCGTGGGGAGTATTTTTGTGCTGCACTTTTACGGTGCAGCATTTTGCTAACTTTGACTGATTTGGTCCATGTGGAAGACTTTGATGAATATCATGTGCAATCATAGCGAAATTGGTTAAAAGGTGCCTTGACTCGTGGGGAGTATTTTTGCCGGTCTGCCTGTTTGGAACACATTTTCTTTTCACTCTAGAATATTTGCCTTTGCCAAAAACTTTTAGTGGGTTCAAACCATTTGAGTTGGAAATATCTTGATTTAAGCCATAGACCTGTATTTGGTGAGCCAAGTCCTTTGCTATGGAAGATGACGGCATAAGTCCTTACACAGACACGGTTTTCATGTGGTAACTTATAACTCCGACATTGAACTTCCTTGTTTCGTCAGGACAGCCTCTATGACCCAGAATCCTCTTTTTCAGGGCGGCAGTATGTGTCAAACGAACTGGAGGAGAGACCAGCCCAGTTCAAGTGCGGATTGTGCAGTTTGACATACACTCGTGCTAGTGGTTTGAAGGAGCACTTGGCTATGCATCGCGGCGAAACGAGGTGTCCGCACTGTGCGGCCATCTACTCGACCAAAAATAGCTTGAAACGACACGTTTTGTTTTCCTCATTCGAAGCGATAGTTCTCGGCGGACTGCGTCGCTAGTTTCGTGTTTCGCGTCAGGATTGACTGCATATTTTCTCGTTCTACCTTTGTGTGAGAGGGCGCTGACAAAAACGATGCAGAAACGGTATGCATGTACACCACGT